CTAGTGTAGCGCCCGGAGACTTCCCACCAAGTAGAAGAAGGCATTAAGATGGGTCGAATGCATGTATATTGGGAGAGAGAAGGAAGGATGGAGACTCGGCTTTGTCCGAGGGCGGGTCTGCGCGTACAGGGGCAAAACACATGCCAAAGTAACTGCCAGATACCAGGTTTTTGCATAAACAAATTATTGCACTTATTTCTAGCAAGGGGCGGAGTAACTTGAGACATCGAACGTCTTTGAATTATAAAAACAAAAAGGCTTAGTAGGGACGCATCATTCTTCAAACAACGGTCTTCCATTCATCCTGCTATCAGTAAACTGGTACTGGATTTGTAAGATACGTGAACCACGACCTAATGCATGAAAACTGTCTAATGGAGTGCTCAGCCCTTCAAAGCATCATTAAAGACGGTCTCCACTATTATGGCTTTGGTTCGTCGCTGCTAATAAGACTGGATTGTTTCATGGTATTGGAGTAATTTGATAGTTTTATTTATAAAATTTTCAAAATGAACAGATGCTTAATCAAAATTTATCTCACTTGATTAGACTTCATCGTCAATCTTGGTGCATCACAGCGTTAAAAAAACACGAAGTCAAATGTTCCACAAGGGAAATTGGCATAAGCTCGTTCACGCTTTTCACTTTCACTTTTCCGCATTTTACCCACATTTTAAGGCCTCTACATTCTGTTACAGATGCCAACGTGAATGACTGAGCGTGCGTCTGGTGTGAAGTCCCAAAACCTCCCCTTTCTGTGATTCTGGGAATTCGTCATGCTTTTTAGGTGGTTGCACACTTTAATTCCCCATTCCGACTATATGCGATACCTTGCACAAATCTTAAGTAGTTGTTGTCATATTTTTTTGTAAAAAGATATGTCGACTTCAGCTTCCATAACCGTTTCACTCCCCTTCCTTTCGTCAAAATGAGTTCAGAGAAGCATTGCAAGACACCGAAAAGGGTAGCTGCCAAGAGCTGTCACCTTGCTGCTAGATTTTTTCACAAGCCCAACAAAACACTTAAGTAGGCTTTATGTGACTTAATTGCTCCAAAAGTGAAAGGCGCATTTCCTACATCGAATAATCGCCATCAGTGGTGGTGGGCATAGGAATAGAATGTGCAAAAATGTGCAGGCACCATTTATACTACAATTTCTCCACACTAACGACCCACTAGCGATGCTTCAAAAGGCATGCTCAACTGTCAGCAAAAGTACTCCACTTCTGTAATACGAAGGGCATCTTTACAAGTAAAAGCTTCCAGATTCAACGGAATATTCTTCTGTGCCAACTTGACAAGACAAACTCAGTTATTCAGTAAACATTGCTATTGCAATTTACTGTCGACTGTTTTTTTACAATTAAAATGCCTTCTGGCAAATAATCGACAATACAAATTCAAGTGGAGAGACATTTGCTCAAGGTGAAATTCACAGCTCCCTCAATAAAGTTAATTAAAGCGTGAAAATGTGAAAAAGGAGAAGCAACAACAAGGAGAAATCATTAGGGGTGGAGGGTAATTGAAGGCAATGACTGTTACACATAGTAGCAACCTTAGCTGCAAAAGAGCTGATGTTTTGTATCAGGCGATATCCTCGAACTCAACGTCTTGAACTCCTTTACTACCTTTTCCAGTTTCTCTGTCAATTTGGTTATTTCTTGTTCTACGGAATCCAACGGTTTCGACATAGCTGAAAGGACCAAATAAATGAAGGTGAAGTGAATTTGACCAACAGGAGCAAGTATGCAGGAGTTCGTATGTTACCTTCAACTTCCATCAGGTCGGCTTCAAGTTTTTCAATGTAAATATTCACTTGCTTCGCCAATTCACCGGGATCCTGAATGCCTGTCGAGTCGCCGCCATCACTACTGCCTCCCTCGTTCTGGTTGGCCATTCTCTCCATTGCCTCGTTTAGGCCATCCAGTTTCTCTTCCAATAGTCCAAATGATGTCTAAAATTCAATAATCGCTTTCGTCAATTCTCAGTTTCAATTTGGAAGCGTTTGGCTCCGTTCCAAAAGCGGTAAAGTTGCCGACGCCTGCTTCCGTACTCATCTGTAAAAAGCAGTATGATTTCTCTATTTATGGTGAGTACTCGAATGAAAAAATAAGTATAAAAGTAGGTAATAGTGCTCCATTTCATACAGCCTCATCCGTACTACTAGCAGTTCCTGGTGTAAGCCGTGTTTTCCCGATTTGGTGCCATCGACAGATCAATCAAAGCTGCGCTGATCTCCCTTAGTGGCAGTGAACTTCAATTAACAATTGCAGGCTTTTCTAAAACTGTGGCAGATTTACCGCACTCACAGTCGTGAAACGGACTGTGAAAGACTTGACTAGCAACCACAATTTTCACTTGTTTAAGTGCTTGTTGAAAAGATTGCGGTTTATTTCCCTATCGCCTAAAACAGTGCACTGAGGGTACCACTTTGCATTTTGGCTCATTTCTTTTGGAAACACTGAAGTAATCTCACAATACCTCTCATCCAAATGTTTACAGACTTGAATTCAGCAGAACGAACTTCCCCCACAAAAACACACAGGCAAGTCTCTTGGTTTAAGGCATTGAGTAGGACTGAATAAGCTTTTTGCCATTTTGGACATCGGCTCTAAAACACCAGTTCACCGTTGTTGAGTCTCGGCATGTTTGAGTCGTAGGGATCGAAAAAAATATATCAACAAGATGCCGCAGAAATTTGTTCGCCGTTTGGGTGACACATAATTTCAGTAAGTTATATCAAGACAAGCATCAGTCCACTGGTTTAAAACCAATGGCGAGACTTTGCCCAAGTACAGCCGGAAGACATCCTGTACATTACCGATAGCAGCTCGATCGCAACAGGGTAAAGAACACATTTTAGACTTATGCTGGTCGGTATCAGTAGGTCATCAGTGGTACCGGAACTCACCTTCGGGTCATTCATTTCGGCGCACCATCAAACTTTATGTTTTTAACAAAAGCTATCTAGAATAAAGGTTCAAAAAGTGAAACAGGCACTGAGGACTCACATTGAGCACTTGGAGATTTTGCATTGAGCTTTGGCTCTCCTGCCTGGAGATCTCCGTTTCCTCTTGAAGTCTTTGAGCGTCCACAGCGTTTTGTGTGGCTTGATCCGCTTGGGCGCTAACCTCCTGAGGTAGTCCTTGTCTCTTTGCCTCCAACCGATTCAAGGCCTGTTTCACCTAAACCCACAAGGGCAAGTCATTTTGCAAAAGTTTTGTAGGTGCTTACGTTTTCTGCATTCTTTCGCTGTTCAGCATCCTCCAAACTGCTGAAGATCTTGCTAGTTTCCAGTTCATCGTAAATTTTACTCACATTTGCCAACTTATTCATCTGCTCCACAAAGCTTTGTGCTTTTTCCCTGTAAATTCAGAGAGTTGAAAAATTAACTGCACAACGCCTCTGCTAAATTTGCATCTGACCAAGTTGATTACCTAATATTCTTGGCCCTTTCACGAAGCAAATTGGCACTCTGGCTTTCTTTAGCTGTTTCTGCAAGGATGCGATCGGTCATACTGCTAAGCTGAGATGAAAGTCGCTGCAAGGAGTTGCCGATTTCAAGAGCCTCTGGCAAGGTGACGTCATGTTTCAGGTTGAGTATCCTTTGCACTAGCTAAGAGCATAGGAAAAATAATGGTGAATTCGTTTAAGGACACACATTTTGTACAGTCCATTGGTTAAGCAAATACACAGTTTCAATTGTTCACTAGGTATAGTATTGCCTACGTATTCGGTGGGTAGATAGGAGAGGCTTATCCTCAGTTCACGTAAAATAACAATCAAATTAGAAAACAAAGCGAATGATTTCGAACTTCAGCGTTCTGTTTGTGAAATGGCAATTCCATCGGTAAGTAGTAACCGCCTTTATCGACAGCCTTGTCCCATCCGAAAGAGACAAACAACGAGAACTTGCAGCTACCTGGTGAACATTCGGTTCACCTATGCACAATAACTCACATTTTTGATGGTCTTCACCAATAGTCAAAGTGACATTTCATAGTATTAGGAGGGCGCCTAGGGGCGAATCAGTCGCAACACATTCAATCCTTGTTGAGCCGCCTATTTTAGTTAATTTTGCCATATACGCAAATCACTTAGACTTTGGAATAAGTTAGAAAGTCAGAGGTAAGGTATGCAAATCGGTTTAGTAAATAATTTTTTTGTTTTAAAAGTAACGCATAACTTATACCTACCTCATTATGGTATTCAAGTGTTATGTCTGCATACTTCCTTAGTGCTTCTTGACCATCTCCAATCAGTGCATTTGTGATGTTCTGCATTCGCATTATCGAAGCTTTCAAAATCTCCTGCTGACCATAGAGAGTCTCCAGCACGCCCTCGGCATCAGTACGAGATGCGTTTATCTGCAATGGAAGAAGCAAATGAATGATTAAAAAAACATAATAATTTTCATGACAGTGGTAACATCATTTGAAAGGTACCGTGGTGATTAGATTTTCAACCTTGGCAGACCTCTGTAGGACATTGGAAAGAGCATTTTGGGCAGAAAGGTGATCAGAAAGCAGTTCCTTCAAACGACCCTCAGAGCTCATTAAACATCCCGTGGTGCCGGCACAGTTAGAAATAAGACCGAAAGAGTCACGGAGTCTATCGGCTGCGCGTGTTCCGTGTTGTTCGTCAAGGTCAAATATTTCAGCAGTAATAGGATCGCAGCTTGCACCTCCGCAAGAAGATGGACAGGTTCTCAAATCTGCTCCTGACTCAGGAGCTCGTTGGTTATCTCCACACATCTGTAAAACAGTAAAAAGTCATGATTGTTCAGTGTGAAAAAGAGCACTCACCATTCGATTAATTTGCCGAATTTCATCCTGAAGATCCTTAATACGTTCACCCATAAGTTTTATTAGTCGTTTAAACTCCTCATCAGCTTCAAACCGATCGCCAACAGTCGTCGTTACTTTCTGAAGCAGCGCTTCCAAAGCCGTTCGTCGATTTTCTAGACTTCGTTGCAGAGCTTCAATTTTCTGTGCTTCTTCCTCCGCCTTCATCAACGTATCATAAGCACCTTTAATGACAGTAACAAAACCCCATAAACGGATCATCTGAAAAATCTGACTTTTGGTTAATGCGATTAAAATTCGTCGCCGGTACTTAAAATGGCAATTTTTGACTTGTTTTGCAACAAAAGGAGTCTATCACATAGCTCACAAATCCAATTTAACGCAGAAGCATTTTGGGCTCGCTTACCGTATGGATCTTGAAATGAGATGGTTTTACTATTTCTAATCATTTTTTCAAGATCGTCCGAGATTTGCTGGAAGTAGACTTCATTGTCTTTAGCGTTTTTTGTCAACAACTCCTGTTGCTTTTGAAGGTTGGTCAGCACTTCAATAGTTTTTGGAAACTTTCCATTTGTCCCATCTGCAGCTTCCAGTGCAGTAACCTTATCCCTAAAATTTAGCAAAGCAGTTGAAGGTGATTGTCTAAATGTGCATTGTTTTAATAGCACTTTGACCTAAACTAAACATACTCAACTAGTTGAAGAGCATCAGCCAACTTTTTCAACTGATTCTCGGTCAGATTTGAAGCTGGGACGAGCTGCAGCTGTTCTACTAAACTCCGCAGAATATCATGAACGGGTTTTAAGTCTGCGGGCAATTGACTAGACGTCTGATTTTGTAAGTTATGCAATTCATCTAAAAAATAAGCATGGACTCAAGTGAAAAGAGAGATTGTAGGCAGAAATTTTATCAGTTTATAATTGCTCTCAACCTACCCACAATTGCACTTATGGCATTGTCCCAATTGGTCCAGCATTCCCCGCATGTTTGGCAGTGAGGCAAAACACCTGTTGTTCCCCTGTCACAGCGATCGCACCGTCTACCGGCTATGCCCTCACGGCACATGCATTGACCGCTCACAGGATCACAAGTATCGCTTAGTGACCCCGATCGGTCACAATCGCAACCTGTATTTATGTTGGCAATATGAGTATAGTGGAAATAGTTATGCTGCATCAACTGGCAAAGCAGCGATCACATCAAAACCGGTTAGTACGGTGAATCTTCCATCGTTTCCACAGCTAATAGCAATGCCCCCACGAGTGCTGGTTTGCTGTTTTTAATACAAGACGACGAGAGTCTATGCAAATCCGTAGTTTCACAAATAAATCTCCAATGAGTAAAACAAGTAAGAATTAAAAACTGTGACTTTGACTGCGTTCCAGCTAAATGTTTCCACTTTGCACCGCTAAATGTCTAACGTTTAGACTAGGTGCATTACATTCGTCACTTCTAACTCCTTTAATACATTATTTAATAAAACATGTCCTTGTAACTTCTTTTCTTGTATTCAAAAAGCACAAGCAACTCATCTTGATGCGCACCGATTCACAAATACCTTAGTCTCCAAGGTGTAGTACTACCTCCGTAGGCATGGCGTCTCTAACTTCCATAAAATTTTACTACGAAAGATAGTTATTTCCAAAAAAATTGTGACATGTGAGTTTTACATTCTTCCATGTGAACCTTTACACCAGAGTAGGTGAATCAGCGATACTTACGTTTGCAACCATCTGGAAGCCGTGGGTCGCCATAGAAAGTTCTCTGGCACTGATTGCATTTCCTTCCACCTCGATCCGGCTTACAAGTGCATTGGCCAGTAAGCTAGAAGCGAGAAATTACATTCACTTTAGTCCATTAAGTAGAAATAACTTCTCAAACACAACCTAATCAGTATACCTGATCGCAGTCAAGATGGAGGGAGCCAGTGGGATCGCAGTTGCAGGGTTCGCAGCCACGCCCCGAGGTGAGGTTGAAATGCTGTTGTGCGCACTCGAAGCATCGCGGTCCGAGGACGTTGGGAAGACAGTTACATGCACCTGTGCTACGGTCACACACCGCGTTCACCCCATCAACAGTGCCCAGATGGTAGCAGTTGCATGGCCGGCAGGCTTGTTGGCTAGCGTTGCCCCAGAAACCCGAAATGCACTGTGTAGGAAGGCGTGCGTTGATTGCAAGTGCGTGGTAGTATTTCAGAGCATCACTCAAATCCCAACCACAATGATAACCATTATAAACTATCAGTTTGCTTATATTGACCACGCTTTTAATTGGCACTACAAAATTGTAAATTTCCAACACTAGCAAAAGTAATGGATGCAAAGTTGGTGGATAAGCCAGCTGTAATAAACACTCATTTATAAATTCAGAAACATTTGTGGTGTAAAAGTAGGCTAATTTTGGGGAAATGGCAAGAATAGGAACAGTAGGGATTATAGAAATGTGAATCCATTGTCTTTGAACCATCTACTGGCAACAAACTCACCCGATCGCACTTCTCTCCTTCGGTGTTGTGCAGACATGTCAAACATGCGCCCGTCACCTGATCGCACCCACCCTCCGGTGGAAGGTTGCCCGAGCAATCGCAGGGTTGGCACGAACCCCCAAACTCCGTTGGATTCCCGTAGTAATTTGGTGCGCACTCTGAACATTTTAGACCTTCAAAGAAACATTAGGGAACCATAAGTGTTTAACCTAACCTTTTTTCTTAGCAGCCAATTATTCACTCCTGGTTAACTGATCTGAGCATAAGGCGAATTTACAGTCTGCTCATCGTAATGGCAGAGTAATTTAAATACGGCAATCGGTGTAGTGTGTACAATTTAGCTGATCCACGATCACTTGCCTGCATAACCTATCTGGCAGTGACACTGCATTCCATTGACAGGGTGCATTTGACAACCTTCTGAGTGATCAACACCCCCTCCAGGACATTCGCAAGGTCGGCATTGGACGCCTCTTAGAGGGTCTCCGTAGAAACCCTGAACACAAGACTCGCATCTGGGACCTCCAGTGTTGTCGCGACAATTAATACAGGCTCCAGTAAGCTTAAAGTGGGAAAAGCATTGACAGTAAGGATGTGGAAGGCACACTCATCTTTAATTCAAGTTGTCCTGCATGCGTTTGACCAAAACACGATTGTTTTGAAGGAAAGTAAAAAATCGACTGTCAACTTGAAGCAAAAATCCGTTGCAATTTGGAACCAGCAACCCACTTTATTTTGAAAACCCTCTCATGGTTTGATTATCAAAATGAAGCAATTTTAGGTCGGTCTCTTACTTTCATTTTTCCTCTATGTAATGGTGTCTTTTCAATTCATGCACATTGAAAAATCGTCCAGGCGAAAAGCCATGCACACAAAGAACGAAGTAAAGAAAAGTTGAAAAGAAATCAACATGAACATGCAACTTGAATGTGCATTTCGTCAAAGACAAAGGTGTAACTATGCAGGCTACTTTTCATTCTTACTAGTCTTCGTACTTCATGTCTAGACTGCAGTATTTAGTCCAGTGTCTTTAACACGTTAAAAGTTTTCTCCACTTTACTTCTTACGCCATTTTTGAGGCACAAATATTTGGGTCAGGAAGCAAACTTATTCCGGTCCCTCCACATTCGTCAAGATACCCATCAGTGAACATTTGTACATAAGCTTACTTGATCACATTCTTCTGCCTTCCCATTGCATTCACAAGGTTGACAGAAGGGAAAATTCCAATACCCGCTTCCACAAATATCGCACTTCCTGCCTTTAATTCCAGGACGACAGGGGCACTGGCTGGTGAGAGGATCACACTGAAGATCAACAGATCCATTCGGATTGCAGTTGCAAGCTAAATGAATGCTGAGGAATAAGTTGACATGCGCATTATGAATGCTATTATGCCAGAAAGACAGGGACAAAAACCCACCCGTGCAGCCAGAAGTGCTGAAGTGGTAGTGATAAAGATCGCACTGGTCGCACTTCCGACCCACAACACCCGGTCGACAGGGGCATTGTCCGGTGAGCTTGTCACAAATTGGCCCCACAGAGCCCGTAACGTTGCACTCACAAGCTAAAATCGTGCAAATCCAGTAGGAAATGTGTACTTTCTATTAAAAGTAGAGTGAACCATTTCATTGTTCTTGGCCTGACCATCAAAAACAGCCTTAAGTACTTAGGTCGAAGCAACTAGAAACTTCCCATTCGGATCCACCAAATGGTTGATGCATACAATGAACCATTGCATCTTAAATATGAAACGTTAATTTGAGGTGGATTTTGGAAAACAAACAATTTAATTTAGCAGATTTTTGCACAAGATTGGCTAAACATTTCTCAAATTATTGCATTCCTTATAGTTAAAGTAACTCTAGTGCAATAGAGAATGTCCTATGAAGCCCATCACTTGGCATAAACTGTAAATCACTTAGGCCTACGAATAGCCAGAGCACTGGTTTCCTTCCAGTGAGACTCTGAAACGTCGAAGTAGGTTTGGCATTGTTGAGGCATTCGGGTTGGGTCGACCTCGCCATTGAGAATCCGTTCAGAAAGCTCTCTGTAAGACTCGCAGTACTTGGCCACAGAGCCGACTTCGCCATCATCATCAGGTTTGAAGATTATCTGAGAGGAAATGAAATCTCACCCTCAATAGCACATTAGTTCGACATGATAGCATTGCCCAATTTTATCTGGACCAACGTGGGAATTGTATGCTTCGATTTCATTACGTTATGACAATGGAAATAATTCTCAGATCCTATGTTATTAGGAATTGAAAAAGTACCTCCAAAATTGCGTTGATGTTGATGAAATGGTTTAATGAGAATAACTTGTAACATAGTTCTAATTATTAAGTTGAACTATTTACGTGAATACACAAATTCACTTGTTCGAAAAGTATCTGTGGTTCAGTCCGTCATTTTGGAAAAGATATTGTACCTCTTCAAGGATTTCGAAATTGACCCACTTACGTTTCCAATCACGATTTCCGTGTAGGGCGATCCCTCACGCGCCTCGGGCATGATCGCCACAATGGTCTTGCGATCACCGGTCATGCACACAGACGGCAAGACTAGTTTCCTCGTGTCTGAAGTGACAAAAAGACAGTTCCATGGCACTACCAGCACAATCTTGGTTTTCGTCGAAGTAACCTCCCAAAAGTGTAAAGCTAATGTCAATAAGGAATTAATAAAGAGTGGATGAGAGGGACCAAAAGTAATCGTGAGTGAATAATTAGTAGTTATTAAGTGGGCATGCTTTACTCTACCTAAACTTATCCACTTAAAAGCAACACAAAAGTGCAATAACATCGTCAACGCAATCACAGACGTTTGGTCTCGATGTCCCATCAGAACAATCGTTTTTATGCTTACAATACACTAGTCTCGGCTCGAGCGAAATTGCATGGTTCAATTCGTAAGCAGTAGCAAACAATCTGATATAAAGAATTGGGTTTCAGTCAATTATTGAACCACTTATTGCTCTTTTCAACAACGCAAACACGACGCTGGGTACGCATGAATTCTTGACCCAAAACAGTAGTTATTGGTATTAGCACCTCGCATTTCATCAATCGTAAGCCTTATGAAAGTAAGACCATAGGAAAAAATAACTCCAAGTTCCTAGCCAACTTATCAAGAAATGAAAGACACTTTTCGGAAAATGAAGGAAGCAGCTCACCACTGTTAATTTCAACACGAGTGGGCACATGTCGACAAGGTGAACCCTCTTGTTTAACGTCAACTGTAACCACCCACCTGTCGCCTCTTCCAAACTAAATAAAAGCAAAAATCTCTCTCACCGTTTCGTTTGACCTCCAAGTCTTCAAATGATAGATTAATCACGACAAAAGAAAAGTAGGAACAGTTTACTCCATTTATTTGCAAGAGACGTTCCGAAGCAAGCGGGAGCTCACGTGTTTGGATTCCACCTCAATGATAAAGACGTAGTTGCCGTCCTTCTTCGGTTCTTCTACTGGGATTTCAAGGGGTCTATCGGGTCGATCAAGAATGAGTTCGGGATGACGCACGTAGTAGCCATCGTCCACTTGACTACAATCCCGACCACTAAAGTTCGTTTTGCACTTGCAGATGCCCCTGTCCGGATCGCATTGTGGTCCCACAGAGCCCAGTGGGTTGCAGGCGCAAGGCTGGCAACCTTGCGGAGAGGCGGTCAGGTTGAAGTAGCCAGGCTAGGAGAAAGTGTGGATGAATCTAACCAAACTAGTCAAAGCGATGCACTATAGTTTATCTTAATCGATGCTCTAATAAATCAGAAGAAAGTTTATTCGTGATGCTCTCCTCTAGCCTCTGAGCCTGTTTCATTTAAAACGATTTAAACCAAAACATTGCTAACCAAGAGCATCGCCTTCCTTCAGGGCTGTATGATTTCCAATGCGTTTCTAAATTCCTCGAAAGCTCATACAAAGTGTCTCATTTTATTTGTTATTCAAAGACACCGGCATATTTGTAGTGACTAACGCCTTAATTGTGGCAGACTTAAATTACGTCGACAATCAAATTTGTAATCTGGATTGTGGTCCATTGGGTTGTCAGATAAATGGAAACGCACTTTTCTGTAAAATTCGAATAGTTTTGAGTTTCAGTTAAGCACAGAGTCATCCGCCATCTTTCCGTTTGACACTCACTTTTACATTTGGGCGGAGATTCGATGGCTCAACCTTATTATTTAGTTTAGCTTTTCAACACTCAGCGAGCATCAGCTAACAATGGAAGTGTGACACCACTGAGATTCGAGATGTTTATTTACCGCTAAATCCATCATTACTTTTGCCGAAGAGTGTAAATTTTGCTAGGAAATCCGGGGGCAACGTGTCATTTATATTTAGTAGAAACACAATCAGTAATTTTCTAACCAATAATATCTGTCAAGATGTTACAATGTGTATACTTTTTTTATAAAATTTGATCATAGAAAACAGACACTTTTAAGCGTATTTAGTTAACCAAAAAGTATTTTTTGCAGAAACCGCACAGATTGACATCCTCTGCCACTAACCATGCACCGATCACAGAATTCGCCTTCAACGAAGCGCTTGCAAGTACAAGCTCCAGTGGTTTGGTCACATCCAACGTTCTCCAGTGTTCCCAGCATGTGGCATCTGCATTCTTGAAAATATTTATTTGTAATTAGGTAAAACAAATGGGATAGAATAATTTGCCATTATCAACTGTCATACCTTCGCAACCGTCCGGATTGTCCGCTCGGAAGTTCCAATAGCCGTCGCGACAGCGATCGCACTTATCTCCTCCCACGTTCGCTTTGCAGACACATCGGCCCGCCACCTTTCCCTCGGCGGGGTTCGTGTACTGATCGCAGTTCTCGTGGGCCTCTGAGCCACCGGCGTGACAATTACAGGCTGAATATGGAGTCAAATATGGTGCTTAGTAAGTTCGAGTAGATCAAACTTCCGCCAAGGATGCTGAGAACGTACGTTGGCAAGTTTGAGAGTGATTGATGGGATAGTCAGGATGTCGATAGAAGCCCACACTGCAGAACTCGCATTGTGGTCCCTCAGTGTTGTGAAGACACTGGTAGCAATGACCACCGGACACGTTGCCTGATTGCAGGTAGAGGATGGGGTTGAAGTAGCACTGGTCTGAGTGGCCGTGGCACTCGCATCCTCGTATAAAAGAATTGTAAGGTTCAGTTAAATCCTTTCCTTTAATGAACTCTCCACTTTAGTAATACTGAATTTCTAGCGTAACGTCCATAGCACGAGCGATGACGTAAATGAACAACTACTTTAGAGATGTTTATGAAAGGAGAACGAATTGGTTTAAGTTTTCAGTCAATACTATACTCCATTTGCAGTCTTCCGAACACTGCAACTGCTAATAATTAGGATGCATTCTTATGGAATAAGCATCCCCAGTCTAACAAAATTATTGAAAAGTTACCTCACAGAGACTAAAAAACAATTATCGGATGAGCACTTGAACTCAATAAAATGCCCTTCCAAACATCGCAAGCGCTTTCCTTAAAAATGTTATTGAAAATCGCCCCTTTTCTAGAATCGCTTGTTCTCCATCAAGACCTGGACGCAAATATTTTGCTGAGAAATGAGGAATGATGATAAACTATCAGCTAGGCTATCTTCCTGCAGGCGCTTTTACATCGGACTCAAATGGGAATGTAATTCGCCCGCTTCATTAAGAAGCAAAATATCTATCAGGCTCAATTAATAGGTCATACTTGTCACGAAAGCTATTTGAAAATTGCTAAAAGGATAAATGAAAAGCTTAATCATGTCCAACACGATTACGAAGTAGCAGCAATATTCACTTTCACATGCGTTTGCTGAGTGTCTAGACGCAGGTCGCCAAGGCTTGTTCTGGTAGAAACTGGCGCATTTCTCACAGTTGTCGCCCGCCGTGTTGTGCGTACATTCGCAAACCCCGTAGACCTAAACCGAAGGACACATTCATTTCATTGTCACTATCTTCTCCCTCGTGGTTGTACTCCTTTCAGCACGACATTTGAGCTTGTACAGACTAGTGACTTAGACAGTGCGGCTTCGCTTTCGTATAATATTTAAGATTGAGGTGACCTCAGTTGTCTGCACAGCTGTCAGTTTAGTCGCCTTTCCAATCTGATCGTCGGAAAATTTGTTTAGAGCTTGATGGCGAGACCGTCTTGCAGTTGTGAAGGCCTCGCTGTCGTGAGCAGCTTCTAAGCTTCAAAATCAGCTGGTATAATTGATAAGCTCCCTGATTTTTTAATGATCTTTTGTTATTCTAACGCAATTTAGGCTCTCCATTTATAAAGATGGGTGTTCACTACTTGCCAAACTGATTTGTGCCTAATAGATATAATATGAAGTGCAACGAACTCCTCCAACAAAGGGGCGTTACCATTCCAGTCTCTAAGTGGCTCACCTTTTCTAGATTACGAATTTCGCTGGAAGATTTCGGTTTGCAGCGAGTGGCGTGGCCAAAACAAGAGCATCGTCCCCATACGTTCCACTCGTACATGGCGTAATAGTACTTTCGACGTATTGCAGAAGAATTATCCAAGTTCATATCACCTGTTTGACAAGTAGTGAAATCATTGTGAGCATTACTTACCAAAGTAGGTTGGGATATTGTTCAGCTCCAGTTTTCCCGAATACGTTTTCGGTGAAATGGAGTAGTGTAGGCTCTTACAACTGGTTATCCCTACTCTGGCTCAAAAGCCACACAAAAGATAGGGTGTGAACTGGAAACAAGGTTCCAAATGATGAGTCTAATGGGATCTGAGCGAAGTATGGCTAAACTTAGGTCATAGCCGGCACACATATGTGCTCACTTCCCAATGCATTTATGGTTGCATGAATAAGAAAGCCAATTAAGTAGCGACTCACAATTTGACCACAAAAAGGATGGGATTATGAACAAAAGGTTGACAATGCTATCGACAATTACTATCAGTTTGGTATGTATTGTGGGAGAGCGAAACATTCAAAAATGTAGTTAATAAGTCACTCGATTCAATTGTTAAAAATGGTTTGAAGCGCTTTCCCGTTGGTTGTAAAAAGTAGCCAGAAAAGACCGCTTTAGAGACCCTCATACGTTATAGCCCAAGTTTGCCTCCTGATTGAGAGACGTGGCATTTACTACCGCTGTTGCTAACACGAGACTAACTCGCTGTCAGGAGTGCGTCCGGTGGTTGACGCTTTAAAAATTGGGTCATCAATCTAGTAAACAGGTTGCAAATGCAACGCTCTGTTTATGAAATCCTGGAGGGGGCAGTCCTATTTCACGTGGCATCAGGCTTTGAATTGGCAGGTGTCCAACGCAAAAGGGAGCCGTTTTCCGTCATCTACCGAGTTCTGCGACGGGAATGGAATTAAGAGTACACAAACACAACACTTTCGAAAGATGGAAATAAAGTTTTAATAAATCATGATCATGTAGTTCACGCTTTGCAAAGTCATAAAAATTGAACTCAATAATTCTAGTCACTTCTGCAATTCCTAATGCTTCCAATGTTTGCACGACTCCTCAATTTTGGCAAATTGAGCTCAAAGGTTTATGGGACAGTGAAATGCATCCAGCGCACCCTCTGATCAAATTCACTACCAAGAAGAAAGCGCACGGCTTAGTGACAAGTCAACTGTAAATCTGATCTCGCTTTCGACAATACAGTACCTTCAAATATTTTTAAAGACTTACCAATGGTCGTCAGTCTGACATCATCATCAGTTCCATGCCTCGCAAAACTATTTCACTACTTCCCTCTGCATCTTGCAAGGCTCATTGAATATTCAATCAGTTAGACTGGGAATATCCTTGTACATTAAATTTGTGTGCAAGGATTCAGAAAGACCGTGTACATCAGATGATTTTGCCCTCCTTCTGGGTTGTAAGGGCATGTAAGTCTCTTAAGGTGACTGAAAATGGTACAAACAAAACTCCCGACCACGAATGAAACAACTGGCACAGAGTCGCGGCATTGTTTACCTCTTAGGTTAATCAAGGATGAGGCCAGGCAGCGTGGCTGTGCATGTGCGTCCGTGCCAAGCTGTAAGTGAATTTGCGTGGGTCCCCTTGACCGAAGCGTTTACGCTGCCCGGTCAATATGAGACTTTGTAGACAATGCAGCACTCCTTTTAGAGCGATGCTCACTCCGATTTGGGCGAGAGATGATCAGTCTGTTCTGTGCTCTTAAATGTTTTGTAACAATATTCACAAATTTAATCCTACTTGTACGACTATCAGAACGTCCGCTCATTAGTGCAAAAAGGAGTAAATTACACTTCCCAACAAAGCAAACACCAAAAACAAGCAATAAGCATTCTTCAGTTTGTCTGGATCTTTAATTTTTCTGCAAAATACTATCGGTTATGATGACAAGCTTGAGCAACACATTACAACTATCCCAATTAAAAATGAGTGCTCATCCATAAAATGATTTTGCCAACCTTCACCTGATTTTGGTTAAGAAGCCCTTGGATAGCCATTGACCAATGTAGAAGGCAACACTGGGACAGAATATGTACATTCAGAGTGAGGAAAAGAGTGACACTACTGACATGACCAAGAGATCGGGCCACATGGCTCTTAACACAAACCGAGGGTTGAACAAGAAGCAAGTGCATGGCTCATAAATGGTTTCGTTTTAAGTTTTCAATAGTAATGCAAATGCGATGTATTGTATTTCATAAGATTCCGAAAAATACCCCTAGTAAAATGCAATTTCAGAGGTCGAAATTAATGCTATTTTGATCTTTTGTTTTCGTGTTGCTTGATATTTTGCTCGACTAACGGCATCGCATTAAAATAAAGCTCCCTGAATGCATGCAGAGATCCATTCCCACCGTTCTAAAATAATTTCTCTGAGGTGCGTGCTCAAAGAAGTGGGAGACGAAAATCCTTGTAAAGGAAGTAAATTTCAGTTTAGATTGAATAAAATGAACTAGATGCCTCGTGTACACCCAATGATTCGCGCAAACTCTTTCCTCTAATGTGCCCAAATAAGAAGGAGCGTAACTCACCTAACGTATTGAGGCGTGTAAAAGTCACCCGTAGGTTGGTAATAGCTGTCAGATTTTGACGTTCTTCGCTATATGGCGGGAGATTGGCGTGCATTTCACTTGGGGCTGCCATGAAGGCGACCTTAGGATGGGAGATGAGTTTTTGTCATAAAGCAGTTCGCATGTCTCTAGTATAATTAAGGTTGGAAAATCTTGAGACTGGTAAGAATTACAGGATAAAATATGAGAAAAGTTTCCAAGAACAGCTTCCCTAACTACAAAAACACCAGATGAACGGGGTCTACCACGCACTAAGGACAAAAAATTCTTCCTCATAAATACGATAGTTACATTGTACCCTCAGCACTTATATGCGCAAACATATTTTCAAATTATGAATGCTCGAAATCGGTAGAATATTTCTGAAGCCATGCCTGGGTTGAAGGCAATGCATAATACAAAGTGAAACAGGGTCACTGAGTATATCAAATGTTTCGTAAAAAGAAAATAATAACAGTTATTGGGGATTGTGCTGAAATTGAGGCAGATTTAGCCATTTATTAGCACTAAACATACCTCTATTTTTATGCAAACACGCTGCTCATTTACATCAGGATATTATGGCAATTTAGTAAAATTCTGGTGACCTGACAAGTCTCGGAAAGTTGGACCAAAGGTTTGCTCATCTTTGTAGTACATAACCAACTCAAAGCTTGGCAATAAAAAACAGGCAAAGCGAAAGTACCTGAAATTGCTCAAAATGTGGTAGCTGTAAAATGTAACGCGACGTGAATGAAGTGAAACTTACAACACCACCCTCGGAAGGAGTTAGCTGACTGTAGATACTAGTGCAAGTGACATCTCCGAGGGAGCGTCTGGGTCTTTCAGGAATGCCGGGGAAGTCATGTGGACAGTTGTTCGAAAAGTAGGCATATGGCTGCCAGGTCTGTGCAAAATCCACCGAACGCTCCAAGAGCATGGCGGCAGGACGAAAAGTTTTAAAGCGAAGGATGGTGGATATAAATTGAAATTGAGTCTCCAAGTTTAGTGTTAGAGTGACATTGTGTACGGCGTTCTCAGATTGCCACCTTAACGAAAAGAAGTATGTAAGCAACAAGGCAAACTAGGATTTGCTCTCAAGCATTGCAAAACTGGAGAATCCAAAGTTCCTTCTTGTAACTAATCCAAAATTTGAGTTCGATTAACAGAGTGATTAACAGCAAATTGGTCTTTTACAACATAAAACTACCTTTTGATGAACATCAGGCCTCCGAAATGTAAAAGATTTTGAAGCAATATTGAAGTGGTAGCTTACCATCTTCCAGGGTCGCTAGGAACCCGAGATATAACATTCTCAATGCGATGGCTGTTTGGATTGGTGATGGAATTGTATGCTTGTTTGGAATAGCATTCACTGCAGTGACTTTTGCCGCTAGCTGTAACAACACAGTAGGTATCCACATTTTCCAATCCGCATGTAGAAGAAGCAACCAATGAGTTATCCCTGCCAATCAGAAGATCGCCGGCCCGAGGACTGCAAATGGTATTTTGACATGAGTACTCATCAGTAAAAGCACTGCATATATGAGTGCTTAGCAGCAAAATCAACAACACCTTCACAATATTCAACATAGGCAGCCCCAAAGTACTTAAACGACTACTTGTGCTTTTAAAACGCGACATCATAACTGTGACTCCTTATCTGATTACGTAAAACATGTCAAGGTCATTACAAGTTTATATCATTTCCAAAACGCATACAGAGGTAGTAATGTCAGCTCATCAAAACAGCATTTCGCTATACATTTAAAAAAATATCTGCGTTTTGACTATTTGGGCTTTAGCGCATATGTAAGTTATCAAATCTAAAGTCTTGGAATTCGCCATATTTGCTCTTAAGGCTCAACTTGTGTGACGCAGTAGACACTTTTTTTATGCAATTACTTGATTCACGTAACACTGCAAGTCTAATGCAGGAAAAATGGGGGGATGTTATTCCTACGACCGCCTGAATATAGTGTCCTTTAGCGCCTCACATGCAAGATATGTTTAGACCAGGTACTGTAGCACCATTACACCTCCCATTAGGTTTAAGTGAGTATTACCGTAATGCTTTGTTTGTGTGGCTACCTGAGGTTCGGCAGTCACTTCAGAATTTGTCTGGCTCTTGTACATGTGGGCTGGCCTTAGGGCCATTCCCAGGCCCATTTACCATCGTCTTCGCGATACATGTATCCAGCTACGCTTGCTAACTTCTTCTACCGGCTAGGAAATCTCGGGACGCTACAAGTACTTTGGGCTGAATGCATGTATTCTAAGGGGAGAAGGAGAGATAAGGGCTTCGTTTGGGGCGAAGGTCAGACAACGCATACAAGTATAAAACGATTTCTATGGTAACCGCCAAACACCAAGTGGTCACACTAAAGCATATGCTGGCGTTCGGTTTTTACTCCTTACGACTTGATTATGTGCCCAAACGTTGCATTTGAATTAAGGATGCCTAAAACTTCACTCCCTTAAATTGGGCGGCATGGCATTGTAGGCAACTGAACGCATATTTTCAGAAGCTGTCCAATTATCATGCCACACAGCCACACTATTGAAGAATAAAGCGACATTGGTCTTTGACACTATGGAAAATTTTGGGGACAGTATCAGTGGGAAAGAGTGTGTTAGCCATCACATATGCCCATCAAGAGTCATAAGAACGCGAGTCGATAAACAGTCATATGGTAAGGGGTAGCTAAAATTTGTTTCGTGATAATACGACTTAGTACTGCTCATATGTATTCAGCTGGGATCTGCCCGTCTAGTGAAAAGACAGTATCCCGTTGTAATACATAGCAAACTGAAGAGTTGTCAGGGCAGACCCGTCTCTGCAACTATTCGTTCGCTTAGTTGCATAGTATTTTTTTGAAAAGAGCACCTGGGTGGCACGTAGTGCAGTTTATTCTGTAGTTTTCAACATAAGTCTATCTGACTGGACGAAACTCAAAAAAGTAGACTAACTCAGCCTGGGTATTGCGAGAACACAAGACATGGTCTTCTCATTTCAGACCGCGCCAGAATTCCCTAAGTGACCTCCACGTTGATAGTACATTCCTCATCCTAGTAAAACATTGTTTCAACTTTAGGATGATCATGGAGCGCTGGAACTTCAATTCGCTTAAATTCTAAAACAGGCATCTAAGTGTGGAGAGGTCCTTTTGCCTTGAAAATTTGCATCCAAATACACTTGCATGGCGTTCATCGATAGAATTTTAAGTTAATGTTTTAATTTTTCAAGTAATTTGCACTGATACTACACTGTCTTTTGTCTCATAAACACCGACTCGGTACAAGTCTCTCTATTAAATTTCTACTGCGAGTCTTTAGATCATGACAAATAAGTGCTTAAATCAAGATCCATCGAGGAAAACTAATATTTAAGCGATGCCATTTCATGACTTACGAGACATTCATATGTTTTTTGAATCGTCATCCCTCCCTAACATTCACCAATCCCCACGGTTGCTGTGACAGCTTGCCTCACTCTGAAGTCCAGACCATGTATAGTAGTTTAGTAGAAAATTATTGACATACGGTTCTCAATAATATGAACCAAATGTCCTCCCTCATGCGACCATCCTTCAAACCTACAGACGGTAGTATGAACACTTAAGCATAGTTCGCGTATTCCCGAAGCTTAAGGATCGTGTCACCGCTCACGCAACATGTAAACATCTCCCTTGCTCAACTTTTTAAAGGTCAGAGTCCCCTTAGCAAATGCTTCCAAAGCTTGAGAGCGCGAGTCCACGCATCGATGCACCATCGACTAGGACACTGCGACACCAGAGGAATTTGTTGACGCATCAGACGAGCCTACGAAGAAATCGTGGTTAAAGCAACAGTGCTCCTTCTCCATCTACGAGGCAAGAGGTGCCACCACCGCTGACAAGTTATACCCTAGCAAACTGCTCGTGGCTCTGCGACTCTCTGACCTTGTGTTCTTCTCCCACACCAACCTTACTTTGCGAGTGATCACCACATTAGTAAAACCTCTGGTTTGCAACGAAACCACCAGAACACACCCCCATGCGTTCAAAGTATTATTCCCCTTGTGGAGTCACCTCTGAATTCCCAACTCACCAGCAGTGATATCGTCTCTCTCAGCTATTCAGTTTTTTCAATTAAAAAGAGAAACAAAACCCCTTATTTTCAGTTATTCAATGGTCAATCACGACAAGCATGGCAACAATGACATTAGAATTAACCGCCTTTGCCTGAAATGGCTGCTGGCCACCGACACTGAGGCGAGCAGTTCCTGAAGCAGCCACTGGCCCGCCACAGACGCTGTCGTTACGCTTGTTTGCAAGACAGAGTTGTGATTGAGTCTCCGCCGAATAGCTCCACACCCACAATTGTTCTGATGTCACTACGAATCGCACCTTCCGCACTTCCCCAGCAAAAAGTGGTAGTCGCTCGAAGCCCACCAACTGTCTCAACGCCGCCTTGTAGCATCCATTGAAGTTATCCTCTGCCTTGGTTCCAAAAAGGGTCAACCAGTCCAGGTAGACTTGCACTACTTCCTCGGAGGCAAGCACACCCCTGTTGACAACCTCCACTGTGAAAGTAAAACCAATCTGAGCAGAGACAGTGAGTGTAGGAATGTCGAGATTTCGGTACGCAAAACCCCCACCACTGGAGGGAGCATAATTATAGGAGAGACCATAGCCAAAAGGGAAAGCCACTTCTTGACAGGTGGTTTTGTTCCGCAGACAAACGTGAGACGGGTTGAAACGGTAGGTGTGGTTGCTGACCTCGTAGTCAGTGATTGTGGGCAAGTTTGAAAGACTGCCGTACCAGGTAAAGGGCAAACGACCCGCCGGCAACCACCAGTACCCGCAATGGCTGTCAAGACTGGCAGTGCTGGTTAAGGAGTGAAAACCCGAATTGAGAGAAGCTGATACGTCCTCGGGATAGTAAGGAGTACCCGGATTGCCCAAGAGCATGCGCGCGGCTATTCGACCTGCCTCCTGGCCGGGGTACCCAAACCACAAGATTGACTGAACCTACCATCAAGAAATAAGTACCACTGTCATCACCCTTCATTAAATTTGTGGATTCTTAGTTTGAAATGGTATAAGTCTTCCCATGAAAACAACATAAAATTATCAAAACTTATGATCTCAGAATGATAGCCGTTAAGTAAAGTGCACCGGCACTTACTATACTGGTTTTGATGAGCACGACCAAATGTTTCTCTTATTGCAAGTGATAAGATACATCTGCTTAAACTCTCTCATCATTCATAAAAATAAGCTTTAGTTTCGTTTTACCGAAGCCAAATTGGCGCTAAGGTTGACACCTGATCTTCCACCAGTTAAAAAACCTAGCTCTTCCACTTCACCCTGAGCCCCATTAGAAAGAGCAGCCTCCACTCAACCACACCTGAGGAGATGCAATCGCATCCGATATGTTCACAGGTCCGGCAGAGTAGACGAAGACTACAACAGGAATTGACGGTGCATAGATGGAGATAAGTTCAAGCATTCGCTGCTGTTGGCCAAAGAGCTGCAAACTTTGTGCATCTCGAGACTCCGTAATCAGGGTGCTACCCGTGCCGAGAGTGACTACAATGGCATTGGGCACCTTCGCTTTTGTGAAATTGAGTAAGTTGATAAGACCAGCCTCGTCACCCAAGGTGCAGCGTGCGCCACTGTCACAGAATTCCAGGGTATAGAGGACGTCGGCAACTTCCTTTAGACCTAGCTGATGAGATGTCAAATCTCAGCTGGGTGCTGCTTGTCAGCGCATTTGGTCAAAAAATTACATAAATCAAGGGAAATTCACTATGAATTCTCGCATGAGACTACAATTTATCAGTATGAGCGTACTCATCAACGGCTCGTCGCCTTTTATATTCACTAAATATTATTCAAAGATCATATTGGTAAATTTCTGCACAACTTATTTTTTTAAATAATCCTTTTCACTAACTACGCAAGAAGGAACCCATCAATTATGCAGGATCGTGCAACTGCAAGTTAACAGATGTATTGCTTAACAAGTTAACAAAGCACCTGAACTTTTCATTTTGGCGAATTCATGAATAGCTTCGACCTATGACTCACCTTCTTCCAAAGTAGTTTCATATTGCGGCATGCGAGAGGCTGAGTAGGATCCAGTCAGCTCGTCCATCCGCTTCGCAAAGGGACCAATGAGAGCGAGATATTTGACTCTCTTCGGAAATGGTAGGAACCGTTTTGTGTTTTTGAGCAGCACTGTTGAACGACATCCAGCTACTAACGAAAGTTGCCGGTGTTTGGGGCTTTGAATGAACTGAAAGGTTAAGTTCAATACCGTGATTTACTATCTGTTATTATATAACTGTATTATCTGAGCTCAGCCCTATTGTCACTAAACATGCGCCAGTAAAATCGCAACGTGTAGTAAGTGGTTTTGGCATTGGACAATAAGTAGGTGCTGAAAACCTGTTGATCTCTTGAGCCGCGAGTATATTGACCAGTAATGCGAAGCACTATAGGCGGCTACAATAGATAAGTACCTGTTCTGGGTCCAAAGGAGAGCCTGCCAATACTTGGTCATTTCCACATACCTCGGTTCGTCACCGAGGTCTGACAAACTATTTTGAAAGTCGTCAAGCTGTCTAAAACTCCAAAACGCTATAAAGAATAATGAAGTGTTACCACATATTCAATCTTCAGGCTTACATCTTCTTTGCTTAGTGAGGCATAAGGGTTACTCTCTGGAGGATCGAATTCCCCTTGCCGCATACGAGTGAGGAAGAGAGGTCGGTTCATTTCCTCCAGCTGGTACCTATTGGTGAAAGGCTTGGCAGCGGGAATTTTGGAGACACGTAAATATGAAGAAGATCGACAGACCTCTTGATGACACCGGCAGCAACAAGGAGGGGGAGAGCGCTGTAGACACCGCGGTTGATCTCCTGAGAATTTTCAATGTTAACGCCCGCGTCAAAAGCTGCCTTGGCAGCTTCAAAATAAGTGTTGAAAACTCTGTGCTCAGAAACCAAGAATTGCAGTGCACCTTCATCACTAATAACGAAACCTGAAAGCAATGATACATTCACCAAAGTACTACTGAGGACTCAGAAGTCAAAAAATATAAGAGCAAATTGTAAATGAATGCAAGGTTGCTATTTTTATGAGCTCAGATGTAAGATAGACCAAATCACGTATAGATTTGAGCACTAGAAATGCAGACATTTTTTACATCGATTCCAATCTAGCCTAGAGAAGCTTTAGAAGCTAATATTAAATGAACCTAATTTTATATCAAGATTTGTAGCATCTAAATGAGAAGAATGTAGTCAGGAAAGTTCACTACTATCGTTTAAAACATCAGCATATTCGAACACTCACAGTTCCCATATTGCTTGCTTCAAAATATTGTACCAAACAGATATGGCTTTGCTAGTTAGGTTTTCTATTTATGAAGTTCTAGAGGTACCTTTTCCCCTTCATGCTCTAAGTCCGTTTAAAGGATGATTAGACAGTCAATGTAAACATTATTAGACGTCAGCGTCTTCATTATACCCTTAAATCCCCACATCTCTCGCAAAATCCTCTTGAGCAGCCAGGGGTTGGCGCAGTTTGGCACACCGTTAATGCCATTGTAGGAGCACATAACAGACTGTGCAACATTGTCCGCCAGACAGCCACGAAAGGAAGGCAGAAAGGTTAGCCACAGGTCGGCTGCTGAGACGTTGGCTTCAAAGCTGAGTCGTGAAACAGGTGAATTTTCCGGCCCCGAATGAACAGCAAAGTGCTTGCAACAGGCAGTAGTTAGATAGATGTGCTCCTCCTCCACCAGCTTCCGTGACAACGATCCCCGCGACGGCATCGCAGAAAGGCCACGCACGAAGGCCTTGGACAACTCCCCTGACAGGAAGGGATCCTCACCTAAGGTTTCCTGATTTCGACCCCACAGAGGATGACGAAATAGATTCACCACCGGAGAGAAGCAGTTGATACCCTTGTGATCCTGTAGAATGATGGTTAGAGATAAATAAAAAAAATGACATTCAAAGCCGAGGTATGGAAGTCCACTCCAATATTTTGAAAAAAAAAAACAATGCGGTATTAAATTCAATACATATCTCTTGCCAGTCTCAACTTTTGACTACCCTCGATAAGCCTTAATACAACCACCATTTTGCTCGCCCTTTTCAAGAGTGTTAAGCGCTCTTAATGTATAGCAAGCGAATAACCCAAAAAATGGACCGATCCACCATTATGTGCCAAGTTTCTGAACGATTAACTTGCTTTAATAAGCCTCCAATACGACCTACCTGGTACTCTCCAGCACGCCTATAGCTGTTGTATTTAGCACGAGCCTCATAGGCAGTTGCATTGGCAACTGCGTGGATAAGATCCCTATCAAAAGTAGCAGCCATAGAAATGGATTGGGGAAAGCTGGTTGCATCACCGTCGAATCCGTAGCCATGCAGGCATTCGGAACGCCATTGGTAGGGGCCGATTCCAAGCCGTGGAATCGGGGGTGCAGGTCCGTGGACAGGACCAGCCCCACCATAAAGTAACTGTTCAGTGAGTTCATCGAGATCAAGGCGACCCAACAAGTCACTCACCCGTTCTTCGCGCGAGAGAGACGTGTTTTGAAAGGGTAGTATTTCGGAGCTACATAGCTTAGAGGAGAATATTACAGTGCTAAAAGAAAGAGAATATAAATGGCAATAACATAAACGCATTCACCAGTTTCGATAACTTCCTGTATTTCCAAAAATAAGAACGAACAATAAAGCAACCATCATAAAGAAAAGTCGTTTATGGTTATAAAGCAAAAAGTCTACTAACGCTGCAAAAAATGCATGTGTGAAACCGAGTTGGTCGAGTTAAAGTGCTATCATTAATGTCGCTTTAAAGTAAAGAAGCAAGATGGCGCCACGAGGTTATTTCTGCGCGAGATACATTAAGTGACTCAAAACACAAATTCAATAGACTATGAAAATGCCAAATTAATGCTTGCAATTCAAATAAACAAGCACATACCAAATCAACAGGACAATTGCCAGCATCCCGAATTCGAATATGCGCATGTTTGCACTGATTAACTTTAACAGTTTAAAGCGCAGGGCTTATTGTTAGAAATAAACTCATCTTATGTCCCCAAGCTACCAAAGTCATTTTCAGCAAATTAAAAAGTGGATCATTTTATTAATCATAATTAATTTTACCAAAATTTTGACAAGAAATTAGTAACCATGAGGTAAAACGAGTAGGGGCCAATTGCCTCGGGATTTTGTAGCTTTTTCAGACTTCTCACAAAGTATAGGAAAGCAGTGAGTTGGACTGCATACATGTAGCTGTAATGCTTCGTTATGGTGACCACCTGAAGCTTGGCGGTCACTTCGGGTCATGCTTAGGCTGCATTTGCCCTGTCGTCTTCGGAATACATGTATTCAACCTCAATTATGCCTTCTTCTACCTTATAGGAGGTCTTGGAAAGCTACAGTAGCATAGGAAAATAAGAAGAAACCAGATCTTTGCTTGGCCTAAAACGATATTTTCTACTTAAAATAATAATACTAATATCAAATTCCCGGCTGAGCATTAGGTGCTTACGGAAACGAAGTCTCACATTGTTGCCGTTACTTTTGAGCTGCGTGCTACTCGCTCCACTTAGTGCGCCTCACTCGCCAGCCATTCGACTTCGTCTAATGAGCATTTTCAACAAGATCTAAAGTTGCGCTTGGTTTGCGGACAGGAATGAGATCCGCTTGCATTTGTATGCATCAACTTCTTCCGAGAAAGGACGCCACGGTCCTCAAGGAAAGGATTCGCGTTCTAATTTTGGGTCCCACCTCCCTCCTATAAAGGTCGACTTAAACACTTGTATATATTACATACAGGTCCTTGACTTCGCTCGAAGTCCAGCCCACGTGTACAGGAGCCGAAAGAATACCAGACATTAGGTGGTCAGACATAAACTATCATAGGTACGGTTCGAGTTTCAGTTTACACAGTAAAAGCGGGTTTCAAAACTTTTTTATTTGAATAATTCATTAACGTTCACCTTGGTGACGCTCTCGTTTTGGTTGTCGGACTGGTCTTTGGGCCGTCCCTTAAACATAAGCGATCATTTCTATCCAGTAACTGTAACGTGACCACATGATGCTTGGCAGCTACTATGATATTCATTTTGCCCTTGCAAGTGTGTTTTGGCATACGGTCTAAGCCAATGACTTGTTGTAGCGTCCCGAGGCTTCCCATAGGTTGAGGTTGAATACATCTATTCCGAAGACGACAGGGCAAATGAACCTGGGCATGGCTCGAAGGCCAGCTCACGTGTACAGGGGCCAGGCAAATTCTAAAGCAACCGTCAGACCTCCAGTAGCCATCTAAGCAAAGCATTACACTTGCTTCTTTTTCTCTCGTAGTAGTGCCTTTTTCTACCTGACGAGATGTCTCAAGATGTTCCAATACCTTACTCTTTAAAATAGAAATTTTTAATACTTTGTATTAGCTGATTAAACAAAGTATCGTATGATTGTATGTCTAGTTATTTTGCCACAACTAGTTGCCAAACTACAAAGTTTATAATTGGAAGCTGTAGACATTGTATGGGTAACACAACAAGCTGCTTTATTCGAATTCTTACAAGCGATGTAAGCAACGCTCTGCTTTTTTAATCGTTTTATATTTATACAATGTATTTCACTACTTCCTTATTAGTTGCAATCGAACAGGAATTAAACCCAGACACCCCATCCTCTTTGATCCAGGTAATTATTTTTGTGTGATTATTCAAAAAGTAGTTACGAAAAAACATCCCGATATAGGTTTCACATTCTGAGTCAGCGTAGGTAATTCCCATTGCAGATGCTCCGCCGCGTGATATAGTGGTTACCAGTTAGCCTGTGATTCACGTTTCATAGAGCGAGCTCATCTGACCCATTTGGTTGTCGGTCCCGTTGTGAGGCTATTTTGCTTACGGACTTGCCTTTTTACGATCTCGAAATTATCCGATTTTTCATGATCATTTTGGTCTTTATTCGATCACCTTGCCTTAAATATACTGCTTCGAAGTGTCTGAATTTTGTTTATTATTATCTATGCACTCATAGGTTACTTCAAGTTCGTTGTCAAGAGAATACATGTTTTTTTAGACTGTTTGTTAATCACCGGCTTCCCTTAGCATTGCTGTTGCGGCTCTCTTTCGACGGGAATCGTGACAAGTTTTGGTCTTAGCTTGAGAGTGTTTTCATCGCCTTTATGCTCTACACTCCGTTTTTTTACCTTTCTGATTCATTCGAGTTGAGAGTCCAATTATCTTAGGATATTCCTCTGTAAATGACCTCGACGGCAGTAAATCTCTCTCCAAACTGTGGCGACAGTGAGAAAGAATCGGGTACCCTTAAAGGCATTCCGAAGGCGACCTTCATAGAAGACGTCGATGATTATCTCAAAACCAATGGCTACGCTACTATCCGTGACGCAATGCAGGCTCTGGATCAAATCTATCAGAAGTACAAACTCATGGAACAGGCTTTTCTTCAACGAAAACTTCGTCTCCTTCAACAAATGCCCGATATTACGAAAACTCTTGACGTGGTGAGGCACTTAGAGAAGAAAAATGAGGATTTTGATGTCACCTTCGAGGTCTCTGATCAGCTCTATGCCCGTGCACACATCGATAAGGCCGATAAAGTAAGTCTGAAGCGCTTCCAGTGGTATGCCTCTAACTTCGGCCTTTCTGTCCCTTTTACTCATATGTTTTGCCATTACAGGTTTAAGCGTTCAGGTGCTTTCCATTTGTTTAAACCACTTCTATTTCTAAATCATTGGTGTGAGTCTAAGCTGAATTTCTTGGCTTTAGCATGTCTGTGCTTCAAAATATTGCATATCTACTGTTTTCAAACCGATAAGATCATATTAAATAATTGTCTCTTTCAATTTGCATATTTAAGTTCGGTTGCGAGATTCTTGCCACACCGTTCGGATGCGTTGAGCTCCGCGCAGAAGTAGTGCCTATTAGTCTAATTTGCGCCCCGCGGTGCACTTTATAAGGTTGTTTTGTGTTCTTTAAGTTTGCCATCATTTCTGCTACACGTGGTATGTACTTCAGTTATGATTATTTCTTCTTCAATTACAGTTGCGTAGATAGGCACCTAACTTTGGCAATTAGTGCTATGTGGTACACTGTTTCCATTTTGCTGAACTTTATCGAGGATACATTTTGTTACCATTTCGTGAAATTGCTACGTTACTGAATGAAGTTACGTATTATAACCTGGTTTTGTAATCATATCGGTAGCGTCGAATGGGAAACACTTTTGTTATTCTGATTGTTCGTAGGTACTGTTGGTCGACACACTTCTGAAATTGCGTGATTTTATAAGTTTTGTGGCTTTTTAATTTTCGGCTAGTCTGAAACTAAATTTCATGAGATGGTTGTTTATTACTTTTCACCATTGAGTTTGAGGAAGGTGATTCTACATTCCCTTCAAACCCTAGCTTCCCAGTTTTTACATTGGTCATCTTTATATCTTTATCGTTTTTTTTAGGTTGCTCATTTAGCCGCTAGTTAAAGCTCTTCTATGAATAACATTTGGACGACTATTTTTTGGGCGCCAGTAAAGTGTATAGTAATCTTCTCCGTTTTTGATACTGGAATATAACTTGATTGTAAGGCTGTGGTTGTTTGTTGCGTTGTTATATATCCTCTCTCCAAGAAGGCTCCATGTGCCTCACGCCTTACCGTCTCCTCTCTTCCATATGTGGGGCTAGTCTTCACTGCTGCGTTCCTGCCCATGGCTGCCACACCTATCTGCTTGTTTGTAGGTGGGTTTGTGGCTAGGAGCGAACGTGATGCTGGAGTATAACCTGGCGGAAGCCAAGGACATCCTGCTGGCAAACCTCTCCTCCGCGGAGACCTCTATGGCTGATGTGGAGGAGACACTGGCTTTCCTAAAGGAACAGACTACCACCGTGGAAGTCAGTCTGGCACGCCTGCATAATTTAAATGTGAAGCGCAATCAGGCTGCTGCCGCCGCTGCCGCTATCGCCTCAGCTAACGGCGCGAGAAAATGACCTCTTCATCCACACTATTGAATACACTTCATGGTGCTTTGTTCATAGCTTCTACTTTTAACCTTAGGGCTTCTATGTTTTCAGGATGTTTACAGCATGATTGAAACTAGACGGAATTTAGTTTTCATCCTAGCGTTTGGTATTATTTCCGTTCCTATCAATACCTTAACTGGTCATTGCGTTAATGGAGTCGCCAAATCCTATTCGTTGCAAAATGTGCAAAAATTGTCTTCGAAGTAGCAAATTTGGGAAGTAATAAGTGTCCATAACTGTTTTTTTTGGATAACAAGTGCTTTGGCAATTGAGAAATGGAGCCTGTGAAGTCGATTGCCATGAGTTATGGTTTCTACGGCGAGTAAAAAGTTGAGAGGACGTAGCGAATGTGCGGTTATACCTGTTAGAAGGATCAAAGGTAATGACAACTCAAGTTACTAGGGTCATATTTTGGGGATGGGGCTTTCACTGGGCGAAAGTTGACTGCTGAGTCATATTCTCTGTAGTTTTATCGTTAATGGCTTCTTAAATTCACTACAGAAATAGGGAGCAGCTTCATCGATCCGCTTTCAATTTTATTTGAGGGCTAGTAAAGTGAAAGGGGATCGACGCTTTTTCACCTAATTTTTTGCTACATTTTGGGGGGTTATGATTACGTTCTCCCTCCTCAGTTTAACCACGTCAATGCAACTTAAGTAGTTCGGCAAGTCCTCATTTCCATCATTTTCTTTTTCAATCTACACATATAACCGTGAGTTCGGTTTTTGGAAACAAGTAGAAATTTAACAATGATAGCATCGGAACCCATCACGAACTGGTTTCTTATTACCCTTAATCAGGAGGTTTCGAGCCTAAAGATATCGTGAAACTCAGCTGAGACATATCATCTGGCCCTATCCACCTATCGACTGACAGCGTCCATATGCGGTCGAACCATGCCATCATGCCGATTAAAGAAGACGAATGTACTTTCTTTTGGCTTTTAAAATTCCTGGCGTCTGCGCTACAACATCATTTCTAGTGGGGACAGGCGAGTAGGAAGAATACCTAGACTCAGTGGTTAATGTTGCGAGACCACTTTAATTGGCTTTATTTGCTCGTTCGGGCAAACGCACCTGAAGCAACATTGTCTGCAGGAACTCATGGCTCCCCATGTCGGTTGAAATGTTTCATTCTTGTAGAGATGTGAAACCAAATTTTAGTTTACTTACGTATCGATGTGTTAGATTGAGTAGTTTTGTTTCTTAATTTCATCATCGATAAATGCTGGCTAATGAAGTACTTAATAAGTGGGAATTAACAATGGAGTGCAACAAGGCATCATGAATATCGATGTTATGTTTTCATCCATACGTGGTGCTCACTTGGGGTTGTCAAAACATCCTGTTACCGCAAAATAAGGGAGTTAGCAGAGATAAAGTGCTAATCCCAAATTTCACATTTTCCCTTATGAGGTGTTTGTGTGTCTAGTCAACTAAGTTTTTGGAAATCAGAACTCATTTTACATCGCTTTTCCCATCTGAACGTTTGCACTAACGAACGATCTATCATTTCTACTTATTGTTTTATAGTAACATATAATATGCTTATAAATTTAGTTGTTTCCTGCTCAAAAAAGTTCACATTAATTCAAAATCGTTCTCCCACATTTAATGAAATTGGCTGACGCTTTGCATTAAGTTTAATCGTTTAGAGTCATCCAAAATGGTTGTCACAAACTTATTAATAACTCCTCATTTTTGCTCTTTTAACAGTCAAAAAATTACGGAGATTCTAAGTCCTAAGTTGTTGTCGTCTTGCAGATCAGAGCAAAACCTAGTAATAACGATTTCCTGTGTCTAGCATTCCAAAAATAAACATTAAACAAGAGGGCGCTCATGTATCTCCATAGATTATACTATGGCTGTGCCCCAAATCGAAGTTTCTCATCATTTCCAGCTCCATATCTACACATTGTGTTTAATGTAGACTTAAGCGGCAAATTTTTTGGTACTAGTGGAAACAAGATAAGGCAGCGTTGCATCCTCTAACTACTTCCCGAATCTAGCTATTTATAAGAACTGGCGCGTGTGTGTATGTGCACGCGCTTATGAGATCTCGAAAATGCATACTTGCCGAACACTCGTGAATGGAGTAAAAGAGCATCGTTCAGGAGAGGCACTTAGCAAGGGATCAGAAACGATAATGATTTGCCGTAAAATTTAATATTCCAATGCGACTTTTCATTTACTAATGTGATACAGACTAGATAATGACAAAACCATAAAATATTATGGCGTTGCATTTGCCGCTTCACCTATTTATGTACCGCAGTTTGCTAACTGATCATTTTTGGTGGG